GGGGCCTACCCAGGTAGGGAGCATGAAGTTATTCCCTCTCTAAGATGGGCCCCATTCAGAGTGATGTGAAGCTTGGATTTGGCACAAGTCAGGAAGACTCAAGGGCACTGGCAAACTGACACCTGACTGAAGGTTTGCGGGGTGTACAACCCCACTAGGTGGGTATGGTAGAGTTAGGATTCTTTTCATATACAGATTGGACTATATGGCTACTGAGGTCTTTCTTAACTGCCAAATTCTGGGATTTACTAGGTGGGACTGGGTGGGCAATGACAGGTCATCTTACAGGCATCAAGGGTACCTGCTACCATAAGATCCCCCTCACTCCTACCTTGGAGGGTCTAGGTAATTTTCCATAGCTTCTGGACCTCTCTAAGACCAGAAGATACTTGTATAGGTTGGCATAGACATTACAGGGATCTGATATAGTCCATTATGGGTTCCCATCTGCCACCCTCTCCACACAAGGTAGGGATAAGGCCATTTTGGCACACATCTGCTTGGCCTGTGTTGGGTAGTTAGACTAGCTTCTACTCTCCAAGTCTTCACACCTTGGTGAGTCCTCCTCACCTTTTACCATCCCTATGTGGGGCTGGGTCTTATCTATCATGAGCATAGAAATGAAGAGATGGGCACTTGCACCTTCATGAAATGCCTTCATTTATTCAGGAATGGTCATTAGTGAAGAGGAGAGGCAGCTGGTTGGATAAGAGTACTAGATCCTTCCCCCCACCCTCTACCAGCTGCCATCCTGATCACACCTACCTAGTACCTAGTTAACAAAAATAAGATTTAAAATGTGATGCTATCCTTCCTTTCACAGCCAAACTCACAGAAGCTTTATAAATTCTTTGCCTCTATTTTCTCTCTTCCCACTCACTTCTTAACTCCTTGCATTCTGCTTCCAACATCCCTACTCAAAAGAAACTGATCTCTCCAAGCTGTCAAAAGAAGTCTTGAATGTTTCTTAGTCTTCCTTCCTTTTTGCCCTCTCTGCAGCCAACCTGTCTTTCTAGGTCTCCTTTGCTGGATTATTACCTTGGGGGGTGTGGAATCATTCTTCTCCCATTGGCATTCTTCTCTTTTCTTTCTACATCCTCTTCCCCCACCCTGATCTTATCAGCTCCCATTTGCTGATGACTCCCAGACATACATATCTAGTTCTAATCACTCCCTCTGAGTTCCAGACTCATATCACTAACTCTCTTTCTCCAATTAGACATTCAGTAGGCATCTTAAAATTCATCACGTCCAAAATTCATTCTTTTTCTTCTATTCCACCTGCCCAAACTTTCCTATTTCTGTTCAGAGAGTACAGTCACCTTCTGATCATCCAGGCTTGCAACCATGGAATCATCCTCTATTTGTTCGCATCCCTCAACTGCCATGTGGAAAGTATTGTTGCTTCTAATTTTACAGCATTTCTCACATCTGTCCCTTTTTCTCCACTCATATAATCACCAAACTCATTCAGGTCTTCATAACTTCTCATCTTTAACTTTTGCAATAGCCTCCTAATTTTACTCCTTGTTTCACTGTTCTCTTTTAACTATCTTCCACATGGCTGCCAAAATTATTTTCCCAAAATGCAAATATGATCATGTCAGTCCCTTACTGAAGAACCTTAAATAATTCCCTATTTTCTCTAGAATAAATTCAAACTCCTTAGCTTGTCCTTTAAAGTCTGGCTCCAGGCTACCTTTCCAGGTTTATTTCACATTGCTCCATTTATGCATTCCATTCAAACTGGCCTACTTACTGATGGACATTTGGAAGAGGTTGACCCCTTGCCTAGAATGTATGCCCTTTTCACTTCCACCTGTTAGAATCAATAGCTTCCTTCATGTTGCTATAGGAAGTCTTACCTGAGCCTTTAGAGGTTAGTATTCTCTTTTGAAATATATATACTTATCTATTTACATATTATGCTCCATCCCACCCTCCCAACCTCCAGTAGAATGTGAAGGAAATTGTTTTTGTCTTTGTATCTCTAGAACTTATCATAGAACTAGCAGTTGTTTAATAAAATTTTGGTTGGAAGAGGTCAAAGACAAAAAGTTTCCATTAGACATTAAAATAGTCAGCAGCACTTTTTTGGGGTTGCAAAGAACTGGAAACAAAGTCAATTCCTATTGACTAGGTAATGGCTAAACAAACTGTGGTACTTGAATTTGGTAGAATATTGCTGTTCAGTTGTATACAACTTTTTGTGAATCCATGGACCATACTGTCTGTGGGGTTTTCTTGGCAAAGATATTGGAGTCGTTTGCCATTTCTTTCTCCAGTGGATTAAGGCAAACAGAGGTGAAGTGACTTGCCCAGGGTCACACAGCTAGTAAGTGTCTGAGGCTAGATTTGAACTCAGGTCTTCCTGATTCCAGGCCCAGCGCTCTATCCACTGAGCCATCTAGCTGTGCCAATAGAATATTTATTATTAATTAATTAATTTATTTTTAAGCAATTGGAGTTAAGTGACTTGCCCAGGGTCACACAGCTAGTGTCAAGTGTTTGGTCTGAGGCCGGATTTAAACTCAGGTCCTCCTACTTCAGGGCTGATGCTCTATCCACTGCGCCATCTAGCTGCCCCTTTTTAAAATTTTTTTATTTTTTGCCAATAGAATATTACTGCACTATAAAAATGATGACAATAAGAGACAAAAAGAAGCAGGAGGGGATGGGGGATGAGGTTGGGGGTGCTGACACAAGACCTGATACAAAGTGAAGTAAGCAGAACCGGGAAAACAACATATACAATGGCTTTCACAATGTAAATGGAAAGTGAAAACAACAACAAACCTAAAACTAGACACTAAGTAATTAAAATGACCAAGTTGGCCTAGAGAAGAAATGAGAAAAAGTCCCTTCCTTCCTTCTCGGTAGAGACTGGGGACGATGGGTATAGAACACTACATATACTGTCAAACTCAGTTTATGTGTTGGTTAATCTTGTTGAACTGCTTTTCAAATCTTTTAAAAATTGTTTGCAACAAGGGATGGTTTGCTGGAAGGAGATAGGGGGAGTTAGTTTGACTTGTTTCTCTCTGTCATCATCATCCATACATTCTCCAATGTTCATAACCTTTTGGGAATATATTTTATTCTTCCTTCTCTTTTGCCTCTCATATCCTATCAGTCCTGTTAATTGTACCTCTGCAAAATCTCTCCAGTTTGTACCTCTTCTGTGTTCCCACCGCCACCACATCAGTTTTCTATTTTCTAATTTCTATTTTCAACTGCCTAGGCTATTGTAATAGTGTCCTTATAGATCTTCCTGCCTCCATTCTCTACCTACTCCAATATATCCTTCAAACCACTTCCAAAGTAATCTTTGTTACATATAAATTTGGTCATATCACTCGACTACTCAGAAATCCCTCAGTGTGATCAACTGTGAATGTCTTAGCTATTCTAAGCAAAACAATGATCCAAGACATTTCTGAAGGACTTATGATAAAAAATGCTATCCATCTCCAGAGAAAGAAATGATACAGTCTAAATTCAGACCAAAGTATGCTTTTTTAAACTTTATTTTTCTTGGGATTTTTTTTTGGTTGGCGTTTTCCCTCACAACATGGCTAATGTAGACATATGTTTTACATGACTGCGTGTGTATAATCTATATTAAATTGCTTGCCTTCTCAAGGAGGTGGGAGGAGAGGGAGGAAGACAAAGAATTTGGAACTCAAAATTTTTTTAAATGAATGTTAAAAATTGTTTTTACATTTAATTGGAAAAAAATAGTAGAAAAAAAAATCCTTGCCTATTGTCCCTAAAGTTCATACTCCTCTGCATGACACTCAAGGACTTCCATAATTTAGTACCACTTTACCTTTCTAGACATATTAATTCTCTCTATTCATTTTATGCCTCGGCAAAACTGGACTATACTCTGTCCTCGGAATGCCTACTACATTCTTATGCCTCTGAAGAGCCATAACTAAGAATTTTTATACCTGGAATAAAAGTCAGGAAAGGTACCCTCAGTTGGAGGGCGGGAGTAAGTAGAAACAGTAGTAGAAACTCCAGGACACTAGCAGAGGGTTTTGGGCTCTTGGGAAGAGATTATTTCTACAGACCATAGTTTCCAATATAATTCAACAAATACTTTAAAAAATTCTATTGATATTCTTGTTTTTACGTCACTCAATAAACATTTATTAAGTGCCTACTGTATGCCAGGTACTGTGCTAAGTGCTAAGGCAAAAGACAATTCCTGCGCTCAAGTTCATACTCTAATGGGGCAGACAAGATACAATACACATGGGATAAACCGGAGACAGGGTCAGAAGGAAGACACTGAAATTAAGGGGAATTGGGAAAAACTTTTTGAAGAAAATGGGACTTTAGCTGAGACTTGAAGGATGCCAAAGAAGCTAGGAGACAGATAAAGAGGGAGAGAGTTCCAGGCACTGGACACAGCTAGTAAAAATGCCTGGATTTAAGAGACAGAGTGTTATGTACAAGGAATGGCAAGGAGGCCAGTGTTAGTGGACTAGGGAATAAGGTACAAAGCAGTCAGGTAGTACTTGGACCAGGACTTGGGGACCAGGTACAGGACTTGGAATCAGGAAGACCTGAGTTTAAATCCTTTCTCAGACACTTATTTAACTATGTAAACCTGGACAAGTCGCTTAACTTGTCTTGGCCTCAGTTTCTCATCTACAAAATGGGGATAATAAAAGCCCCTTCCTCATAGGGTTGTTGTGAGGATGAGTTAAATGTGCAAAGTGTTTTACAACCCTTAAGGCAATATATAGATGCTAACTATGATGATAATGACGAGGAGGACGACCCCCCCCACCTCTCCCAAATCTACCCCTTATAGTAAGACCACTCCAAATCATCTTGTGGCTGTCCATAACCAATCTGTGCACAGTTCCAAACTATAAATCTCAGAAGGATGTGGAGAAATAGAGCCAGTTCTTGAATAATTCTGTGCTTTTTAGTAACGATATGTCATAACTGGCATGGCAACTTCCCTTCTTCCTTCTAACACTTACCTCCCAAGCTTGTAATTTGTAACGAAGACCCAGTTGCTTATAGTCAATGAAGGTATTGTTTCTGAGGTTGACCAAGGCCTGGACATAATCAGAAAGAGCTTCTGGGAACCTGTGGATCAGAAGAGAATCAATTACAACTCAAAGGTTACTAGAAATGTACAGGAAATTCCACAATTGGGTCCTCAGTGACTCAGTTGTTTAGTGAAGGGCTTTGAAGCAGAGGTTAGGATTCTTGGACTTAACCTTTAGAACAGGGAGCCATAGTAGGACCCCAAAGACAAAGGTGGCACAACTGGTGTGGCAGGAGAAAAAGAAAGCCTTAGCATCAAGCATAGTAGTAGTCTGAGTACAGAACAAGAAATGATAGCTTGGATGAAACATGACCAAGACTGTGCGATTCTGTATAACGACAGGTAGATATGGGAGAGGTTGTGATGACTAAATGGGTAAGTACCAAGTATAGTCAGAACTATATTGAATTTTATCTTGTTTCAGTGAAACACTATTTCAGATTTGTTCTGAATTGAGTCTTGCTGGAAACTACCTGTTAAATAGGATAAGAAGTACTTTTTAGCTGGCTGGTGCCCTTCACCTTCACCTTCTTTCCCATATCACTCACCATAGATATCCCAACTGAGGAATTAAAGGGGCACCTGCATCCTAGTCTAGAGGTCTCTGTGTGATTTATTTCTTCCTTCTTGTCTTCCAAATATCCCTTTACAACAAGACCATGCTTCCCTGTTTGATATTACTTTATTTCTTCAAAAGATCCCTGATTTCATCAATTTGGGAATTTTCTCCACTGACACTGTTAAAAACCCCTTTCTGCCTTAGCAGATAGTTTCAAAGTTGAAACAACTAAAATAATTCACCCCTTGGTGACCAGCTTTCTGGGGATGAGCCTCTTCCCTCTTAGGCTAGTCCTCAAACAACAGATGCACAGTTCATTTCTGGTCCCATCTTAGAAATCACCTCAGTGTGGTGTGACCTATCAGAGCTTATGTTTCCAGGGCATAGCCTTGAAGATCTTGAGACACCTTTGGGTCACATTGTTTATTAACTGTGGTCCCAGTTCGGAAAAGCAGTTCTGCTTAGGAGGAGGGAGGAAGGAGTAGGGAGATAGGAATTATATACAGAAGCATCCTAGCTTAGGGACAAGTGGAAAAGCTGGCAAATCCTTGTTTTAAAAGGCAACTGTTAGAATAATACTGTTAGGAAATGCTGTAACAAAAAGGTAGCTAACAACAACAAAGTTTGTAAAGGCTGAGATTCTTCTCTCCCCTTTATTCTTACAAAAATAAAATAAAAGGGAAAGGAAGAGGAACTGATGAATTTATCTGGGAATGGGAGGGGCAGGAAATATCTTTAATATAAATATCCAGCTTCAGTTTACTGCCAAATGCTGTCTTTGCTTCCTTTCCTTTCCTCTGCTTCCATATCTGTCCTCTATCCAGAATGCCACAACCTTAGTCATTTCTCATTCAGACTATCACTCCCAGTCTCCAGCTGTGCTTGATTATTCTAAAACAGTCTCCTTTGGTCACACTAATTATGCGATCTTCCTCCTTGGAGTCCTACCATGGCTTCTTATTGTTCTGAAAGTTAAGGCCATAATCCTCTTCCTGTGCTTCCAAGCCCCCAAGGTCCCAAGGGATGATCTCATCTCTTTGGTTTCCTAGTTCCTGGTCTGCCTGCCTCAGCTGAAAACCCCCTTGGCTTGATCTTCTTGTACCGTCCTCTAAGTCTTTAGATACATCTTCTCCCACTTCCACCCTCTACCCCCAGAAGCATTTAGAAATTGTACCTCTTTCAATAAATTTCCTGCAATGATTAGAGCACTAGTGGCTTCCCAAGTGACTCACCTATCTAAACACGGAAATCCTGAAGCTGGTTTTCTTGCCGCATCTGTGACCATAGCCTTGTGTATTATACTATGAGTTCTATTCTACGCCTTTACTGAATTATTCAAAATAGGAATTATTTTTATTTTTCTCTTTATATACCCAATTCCTAGAACAGTGCTTTGTATATAGTAGGAACTTAATATTTATTTGAATTGAACTGAACGTCTATAATCTCCCTGATTTATGGTTGTTTTATGTATATACCTTTTTTTTACACCACAATCACTTCCAGACCTCCCAGACCCCTAACTATAAAACCTTCCCTTGGAACAAGGAGAAACAGTAAAAAATTGTGATGTTGTCATCGGGTCTCTTTATACACTGGTCTCACCAAGATGTCTGGTAAGCTCTGAAAGGACAGCAAGAGACCGCAGCCATCACCATGACTAGCAGAGTGGCGTGTGAAGTGGGCCAACTTTGAAAAGTGAGAAAGGAAGAGGAGCAAGAACTAGGTATGTTGGGAACAATAGGCTATAAGAAAAGAAACAAGGAGACTTTGTACTCACCTTTCTAGTTGAAAGTGAACCATTCCTCTCAGGAAGAATCCAACAGCCAGACAAGAGTCTTTAGTCACTGTTTGATCCAATGCCTAAGGATCAAAGACAAGACATCAAAATAACAGCTGCCCTGTTTTGGTGTATTGGTAAATATAACATGGCATATTTATAAAATAATGCAACCAATTTCCATAAAACATACACAGAAATCCATCTCCTATAGGTCCTATCAAGAAAACATCATAAGTTCATTTCAGAATTGTGGGTGCTCCCTCTGATGATGCATATCTCAAACTACTATGCCTTCTCATCCCATAAAACTTGTATCTAAATCTTTGATGGTGGGTCTACCCAGAATGCTTGGAGCCCTTTTTCTAGGTCCTTGACATTATTTTGAAAATGCAGTACATGGTACATTGGTTATCCTTTACTTTTGCTACAAGATCAACTACCTTACTTTTTCCCATCATATACCTCTTTCATGAAATTATTTTTGTTTTTTTATTTATTTTTATTTTTGGAGGGTTAGGCAATGGGGTTAAGTGACTTGCCCAGGGTCACACAGCTAGTAAGTGTTATGTGTCTGAGGCCGGATTTGAACTCAGATCCTCCTGACTCCAGGGCCAGTGCTCTATCCACTGTGCCACCTAGCTGCCCCCAAATTATTTTTATTTTTAAAAAATGTTTTATCAATGTATTTTGTTTTTTAAGCCCCAGTCATTTTGGAATACACGTACATATTCCCTCAGTCCCCTCATAGAAGCCTCTCTTACAACAAATAAAAACAGCTAAGCAAAACCAACCAATGGAGTTACTAAGTGACCACATATGACAATGTACACAACATTACACACTCATAATTCACCATCTCTCTACCAAGAGGAGAGAAGTATGTTTTTCTTTAAAAAAATTTTTTTGCACTAATCTTTTACATAATTCTTTCTTGGTAAAATACTTCAGCTTAAAGTATAAGTGAGGGTTTCAATTCTCAGATTAATCAGATTTTATCTGTATTAGTAGTCCTGTTTTCAACTTAATGGACTATTTACTTCTCCTTATTTGCATATCCAGTTCTCAAATATCTCCTTCACAACATCAAGGGGATATTTAAAAAACAGTGTTGGAATGAAATATTTACCACTTGTTTTAATTGACAAATTGTGTAAAGTAGGTGCAATTCATCTTTTTCCCAGATTCAGATATTCTTTTGAATGTGCCTTTAATGAAGACAGCAGCCACTAGTTAAATAAACAAGCCAGCTAGCTGAGGGAAATAAATGTCAATAAAGATCTGATTCAATTAACTTGATAATTATTGACTGTGGTTATTGTATAAGGGAGACAGCATATTGTGAAAATAACACTGGACTTGGATTCAGGAAACACAGGTTGAAGAATTGATTATGACCCTGGGGCAAATCACTTCCCCTCTCTGAGATTCCATTTCTCCATTTACAAAATAAGAGTTCTACTAAAATGACCTCCAAAGTACCTTTTAGCTCTAAAATTCTATGAAGTTGCATAAGTTGAGTACTGAGTAGTGCTGAGTACTGAGTAGATGCAGTAAGTACTAGGGAGATGCTGTAAATACTGAGGAATTTTGGAGAAAAGTGATAAGAATGGAATAGGTTTCTTGGGCAAAAGGAGTTCTGAGCCAGATCTTGAATGATGGACATAGATTGGCAGAAAAGATGGGCTGTTTCAGGTTTAGGGAGAATGGCAGGTTCAAAGATAGATGCAGAAATATGATATGTTCAAGGGAGAGCAAGCAGATGAATCTGATAGGAGTAGATGGACTATGTTGGGAAGTAACAAGAGATGAGACTGGAAAGGAAGGGTGGTGGTGGGGTATTAAATGCTTGGCTGAAAATTGAAAATCCACACCTGTAAGCAATAGGGAGCCATTGCAGGTTCTTAATCAGTGGGATTATGAGATAAAACAATATTCAAAGAATGTTACTCTAAGCAGTGTATAGGGTAGATTAGCTAGAGAAGACCCTGGAAGCAAGAAGATCAGCGTGGAGGTCCTAAATCTGTGCATGAGACAATGAGGGCTTGGCTGACACTCTCTACAAGGCCTTTGGTTAGAGTTTCATCTTGTATCATTATCTCATTTCAGGATAGTATCCCTGTTTCCAATTAGGCATATGCCTTTGTTTTAGTCTCTCTATTATAATATGGGCAGCTTTCATAGGTGTCTTGGTAAATGTTTAACAACTGGCTCTCTAAAAAACATGTACACATGACACACTTTTCATTTTAATCTGCATTTAACTTAAAATTTTCTTGATCATTTTAAAAAGTCTAAACAATCAACAAAATAATAAATCAAGCCCCGATTTGTATTATTTGTCAATTCTTGATGTGTAAATGCTCACTCTGAAAACGGAGCTGTTTTCAGCATATTCTGGGAAGTTTCCCAAATTATTAATATCGCATTCTTAGCCACTTTTGTTTAAAGATGACTTTGCATGTACCCTATGCCTATCAGGAACTTCCTTTCATATCTACTTAATCAGTTAGACCCTTCTCCTCCCTGAGAGTAGTGATTGTCTTTTACTTTACTTTGTAAAGTGCTCAGCACAGTGCCTAGCACATAATAAATGCTTAATAAATATTACTTGACTGACTGATTACAATCTTAGAAAACTGCCTAGATACATATATCAGAGACAAGATATGAACCTATGTCTTCCTGCCTCTGAGGCAGTCTCTTTATCCAGTGTACCACAAATGACTCTCAGCCTATCCCTCTAGATGCATTCATTTCCCCCCAAGTCTTATATATTTTACCTCCAGAGTCCCTTATATTCAGGTCTTTAACACCTCTCCCCTGAACTACTGAAACAAGTCATTGATCTCCCAGATTCCAGTTTCTCCCCTTTTCAATCCATTCCCCACATAGCAGCCCCAATAATCTTTCTAGGGTGGAAGTCTGACCAAAAAGCCCATCACAATGTGCTTCAACCTATTTTCCCAGCCATATTTTACTCTACTCCCTCTCATAAATTTTATATTCTAGCCAAATTGACCTCCTAGTGTTTTCCTCAACCCCAATATTCTGTCTTATACTGCTAATTGGTTATGCTCTCTTTGTCCTCAGTTTTTCTTGTACCATACTTACGTAACCTCCTGGGAGAGAGTCTGGAACCATTTCCTCTTTCCAAACTGGAAGTTAGAAACTAGAAGGATCTTTCCTTTACCAAGCTCTCACCAACTCTACCCCTCACACAGCTACAGAGTAATCAGTCTTTAGCAGTGAGGAGAGTTTTATGCAAATGCATTTGAGTCCTAAGGTTCACTTCTATTTGTATATGTTGTATACCCTCATATAAGATTCTTGATGGCAGGTAGTGTTTTCTTTTGTCCTTATATCTCTAGTGCTTTACACATAGGAGATTCTTCTCCTCAAGGCCAACCCCTCTATATGTATCCTTTATCCTATTCCTTATTTTCTATAGCAGATTACAACCTCAATCATTTTCCCCTTTCTTTATTCTACAATACATACTGGCTCCTTCTCCACTGCTTTCAAATATACTCAAGTATTTCCCATCCTTAAAAAACTTCCTGGGGTAGAGCCAAGATAGTAGAGAAAATATAGGCACTCACCTGAACTCTCCCAAATTTCCCCTCCAAACAACTTTAAATAACATTTCGAAACAAATTCTGGAGCAGCAAAACCCACACAAGCAGAGGGTGAAACAATTTTCCAGCCCAAGGCAACTTAAAAAGTCACCAGGAAAGGTCTGTTACACTGGGGTGAGTGTGGAGCTCAGTCCAGTGCAGGCTGCACTCAAAAAAACCAGCAGTAGGCCTTGGCCAGGGTAGGGCATAGGGGAGGGGCGACTGAATCAGTGGCGTGGCAGTTTCAGGACCTCTCAGCTCATAGGTGGTAAGGGGAGGGGTATGTTAAGACAACAGATCAGAAGGAGAATACAAGGGTCCCTTTGCTGGCACCAGGGGCAGGACTATGTTGCATTGTTCATTCTTGGATCTGGGTCACAGTCCTGGGTCTCAGTCCCAGGGCAAGGAGCACTATTAGCACACCAGAGCTTGTGGCCTCAACGAAGCTGGGACCCTGGTCACAATCCAGGGTGGAAAAGAATGTTTGTGGTTGCTCACAGCTTACAGCATAGCCAGGAGACTAGTAAGCATATCTCTCCCTAGATTACGCCACCTTGGAAGAACCAAAAACTTACAGGTCCCTGGAATTATGTCTAAAGACAGCTGCACAAAAACCTGAAGCTTAGGACAGTGTCTCCTCCATTCCTGAAGCAGAGCCCCACTTTAGCATACAGTTAAAAGTCAACAAATAGGCTAGAAAAATAAGCAAACAACAGAAAAAGATCCTGACTACAGAAAGTTCCTATCATGACAGGGACGATCAAAACACAAACTCAGAAGACAACAAAGTCAAAACTGCTACATGCTAAGCCTCACAGAAAAATATGACTTGGTTTCAGACTATGGACGAGTTTAATTGTTGGGTTTTTTTTAATCAAGAGAGGTAGAGGAAAAATTGGGAAGAGAAATGAGAGTGGTGCAAGAAAATCATGTAAAAAAGAGTCAACAGCTTGGTAAAGGAGGCACATGTATGTGTGTGTGCACACATGCATACACACACACGTGTGCATACACACACACACACACACCCCTGAAGAAAATAACACCTTAAAAACAGAATAGGCCAAATGTTAAAATCTATTGCTAATATTAAAAGTTAAATGTTAAAACAGGCACAAAGTCCAATGAAGAGAAAAACATCTTAAAAAACAGAATTGGCCAAATGAAAAAAGATACGCAAAAATTAACTGAAGAGAACTCCTTTAAAAGCAGAATTGGCCAAGTGGAAAAAGAGGTACAAAAATTCACTGAAGAAACCAATTCCTTAAAAATTAGAATTGGGCAAGTGGAAGCTAATGACTTCATGAGATATCATAAAACAATAAAATAAAGTCAAAAGAATGAAAAAAATAGAAGATGTGAAATATCTCATTGGAAAAACAACTGACCTGGAAAATAGACTCAAGACGGTTAATTTAAGAATTATTGGACTACCTGAAAGCCATGATCAAAAAAAAACCCTAGAT